ACCGAACACTTCTGTATAGAGCCGTGGTGAACAACAATGCATTAGTACACACCGAGCACTTCTGTATAGAGCCGTGGTGAAAACCAATACATTAGTAGACACTGAACACTTCTATATATAGCCGTGGTGAACATCAATGCATTAGTACACACCGAGCACTTCTGTATAGAGCCGTGGTGAACAACAATACATTAGTAAACACCAAACACTTCTGTATAAAGAACCGTGGTGAACAACGAAACATTAGTAAACACCGAACACTTCTGTATAGAGCCGTGGTGAACAACGAAACATTAGTAAACACCGAACACTTCTATATGGAGCCGTGGTGAACAACAATACATTAGTACACACCGAACACTTCTGTATAGAGCCGTGGTGAACAACAATGCATTAGTACACACCGAGCACTTCTGTATAGAGCCGTGGTGAACAACAATACATTAGTAGACACTTAACACGTTTATATATAAACATAAATAAAGACAAATTTTAGGTCGGGACGTGGAAACCACTAATAAGGATTGAGATGATTCATGTACAGTGCCTTGCAGAAGTCTTCACCGCTCCTGTGCTGGTAGTAAATTTGAGGTATTTTCTTGTGAAAGACATAACTCAAATGGCCAAAAATATTTATTATATCAATCACACACCAGTTAGTAATGATTACAAAGAACAAAAGGTGAATTGTTATCCAATTTAGTGATATAACACAAACAAAACCTGAAAATACGTGTTGCAAAAGTCTTCACCCCCCTCTGCTGTTACCATCGTTGACTTAAATTTACGTCACTACCCTGATAAAGTAAATACAAGTGTCTCTGTACAACTGTATCAGATTCCAAAGTATATTATAGAATCACGTGAAAAAATACTTTTCGTCATATAGAGCCATCAGTACTGATTTAAGTAGAGTGTTTTGAAATCTGGTTTATTGTTATATATGGAGAATGATGAGAAAAGAACTCTCTACACACCTTAGGGAGAAGATTGTCCAGAAGTACAATCCCAGAGAAGGCTATAAATGAATTTCAATGGTTCTCAATTCACCATTAAGTACTATGAAATCGGTTGTGATGAAATGTAAAGTGTGTCACAATACCTCAACTTTACCAAGATCAGGTTGCTCTAAGAAAGTCTGCTCTGGAACAAGCAGACATATCATAAGAGAAGCGACCGTCAAGCCAACAGAAACACTTCAATAGCAGCAACTGGAGTTACTGTACACACCTGGACAACATCACGTATCATACACAAAAGAGGCTTGTATGGTAGGGTGGCAAGAAAGAAACCACTACTGACCAAGATGTATCTTAGGTCGCAAATGGACTATGTTCGTAAATATTTCAATAACCCTACAACAACGTGGCAGAAAGTTTTATGGTCAGATGAAACCGGAACAGAACTTTTGGGGTTAAATGACAAACGGTATGTTTGGCTGAAATCCAACACTGCTCATGACCCAGCAAATACAGTCCCAACTGTCAAGCATGTGGTCCATAATGCTGAGGGGATGTTCTTCTGCAACTGGCACTGGAGAACTTGTACGCATTAAAGGGCTGATGGACCAGTACAAAATGTACACAGATGTTGGAGGTAAACCTGAAGAAGTCAGCTGAAAAACTAAAACTTGGTCGAAGGTTTACATTTCAACAGAACAATGATCCCCAACACAGATAAAAGGCCACCCAAGAATGGTTTTGGAGAAAGAAAATGAAAGTCCTTGACTGGCCAAGCCAAAGTCCAGACATAAATCCACTCGAAAATCTGTGGAGAGATTTAAAAATTGCTGTGTATCGAAGACATCCTTCTAACTCACAAGAACTGGAGGATATCTACAAGCAGGAGTGGCCAAAAATATCACCACCATACTGTGCAAAGGTTGTGGAGGGTTATCCTAAACGACTTTCAGCTGTCATTGGTGCCAAAGGAGCTTCAACCAAATATTAACTGCATTATCATGTTAGGGAGTGAAGACTTTTGCATCATGTGTTTTCAAGATTTTTGTTTGTATTATATCACTAAAGTGAGTAATAATGCACCTTTTGTTCTTTGTAATCTTTAGAAACTGGTCTGATACTAATATAACAAATAATTTTGGCCACTTGAGTCGTGTCTTTCACAAGAAAATAACTAAAATTCATTACCAGCACGGGGGTGGGTGGGTGAAGACTTTTGCAAGGCACTGTAAGAATTTTGGAAACAGCAATACACCAACAAGTGTATTTTTATATTTGCACTTAATTCACGAAGTAAACATATTTATCGGCAGTTAAGAAAAGTCAAGGCAGTAGAAGGTGAGAAAAGTTGATATCGAGATAACCCCTCACCTACTGTACAATAAACATCCAAAATTGTACAACCAAATACAACGTTGCTCTGCACGTTAATACGAAATGAACTTAACCCTTGTTCCGACGAAGTAAATAGAACGACGTTATAGCCACCTCTAAACAATACGAAAGCGTTTCAGCGGCACATATATGCAGGTAAAAACAGCAAGGTATAAAGGCTGGAAATCTAGCACTGTGTATAGATCAAAGACCAACAAGAGTTGTGGAACATTGTTGCAATAAACACACTGGAGACGAAGGCAGATGCTGCAGGCAGACTTCAATCGTAACGCTTAGGTTTAAAGAATATACTATATCAGTTCATGTTGTAACTTCGTGAATTTATTTCTTCTCAGGCTATTCACACGGTTTTGGAGTTAGCTGGAAAAAAATTGGTAAGCGGATTCTGGGTGTCCCGGGGAGTTTCCCTAACTACCTGTTGTAGCCCCACCAAGGCATGATGTTGATTTAGGTATATTCATTCAGGATCGCTGAACCCGAATCCAGCAATGGATTTTGTGTTCCTGTCCCCCTTCGGTATCCCTAGACGCCTTAATTGAAACTCACCCTTCCCTCCCCCGGTGGGTGTCCTTAACGAGATTTATTGGCAAGGTATCACCACCCCCACAGCTCTTTGAGTAGCTACATAAGTAGTTGGGGGTAATGGTGGAGACTGATCGGGCTACTGGTGCCCCTGTGAATCACGAGGGAGTCTTTGAATACTGCAGAGTATTTTATCACAATTACATTAAACACACTACAGTAGCCTACATATACATGCTACTGCAACCCACATGTACACGCTACTGCAACTCACGTGTACACACAGCAGAAAGAAGATATAGAGTGAGTAGACGCACGTGAAGGTCACCGTCATCATGTGTAATTAACGGCATGCACAGGAAGTAAACAAAATAACATAAACATCACCATGTAAAATGTTAGCATAAACTACATATATGATAGCCAAATGTCTGTCTGTCACACTTTGTATGTCCTGAATGGTTATTAATAGGAAAAAAATATTTCAATATGTTTATTTTCAAGGGTAAATTATAGGAAAATTATTCTATTTTTTTTTTTTTTTGCAGTTCCTAAAATTTCATGGCGATGTCAACATCTAACATTCAGTCTTCTTATGTGCTGAACGGTCAATCTGAGAAGAAAAAAACTTATTAAGAACAAAAGTTTTGTCCTGCCAGGGCCTGATGGTTCGAGGGTTTGACTCGCAATCTGCTGGTCGAGGGTTCGAATCCATGTCATGGAACATACTCGGCTATTCAGCAGTGGGAGCGCTATAATGTAATGGCCAATCCCACTATTAATGGTAAAAGAGTAGCCCAAGAGTTGACGGTTGGTGGTGTCGATTAGCTGCCTTCCTTCTAGTCTATCACTGCTAAATTAAAGATGGCTAAGCACAAATAGCCCTCGTGTAGCTTTGCGCGAAATTAAAACCAACCAAACAAAAATGTTTCTTTTTTTGTGAGGGAATTTAACGAAAAAAAACGGGACTTCTTCCATCAACTGATTAAAAGAAATATTTCGAAGATAGAAGCATGAACATAAAAAAACACATAAAGAGAGGAGAGTGTTTGAGTGTGTATTTGTTATTGTTCAGTTTTTATATATATATTTCATGTTAGTATTATATACACGCATGATTTTATTGTACCTTGACAAATAAGCTGATTTGAATATCTTCCCTATGATACTTATAGAAATGCCAAGTGTCCAAAAGCGCTCACTTGGTCTTTTTCTTGCCCTCAGTCAAATGACAAGGAACTGTGCCATCCAGCCGAGAAAAATCCCGCGGCTACTTAACGCATCAAAACCCAAACATTTTTGCCGACCAGTGATTCTCCTTCGCTTAAAAACAATCTCAATGTAATTTTTGGTTAGAGAAATAACAAGAGGAACGAAAAAAATAGTTGTAGATGTCCCCTAGATAATCATATTACATATTCTCTCTGATCCAAGTGATTGGGTTGACTACACATTTTATATTTATTCAACACTATTTTTAGAAAAAATTACCGTTGAATTGTTTCAATCGTCATCTGCTAGTAACCCAATAAAGCTGTGAACACGGTAGCAAGTTCTACAGTTTAAATGTCTTAAGCCTAAATGTTGACAAAGCTGTAAGTATCTTGTTGGATGTACGATTGGTAATATTCACAACTGTCTTTTTTTATTTGTTTTGTTTTTTTGGTACGCCGAATGGTTTTATATCCGCGAGTAATGTAACATTGTGGTAAACCACGCCCATCTGTGAACAGATATTGTCAACTGCTGACATCTTTTGGACAATAGCGAAACCACACTAAATATATATACGTGTGTTAAACTACACTACATTAATTAGATGCTAGTATATATTATCGTGTGAACTTGTCCACAGTTTATAGTTTTGTGACTGGAAAGTTATTGAAAAAGCACAGTAAGCGGAATAAACTGACAGAAGTCTTGATATTAGAGAAACTAGTTTCGACACAATAAACTGACAGAAGTCTTGATATTAAAAAAACTAGTTTCGACACAATAAACTGACAGAAGTCTTGATATTAGAAAAAC